GGTCAAAAACCTCCTCGATCAGTTTTTTGCCAGCAAAGACCAAAAATTTTATGAGCGTGGAATTATGCTACTACCAGAAAGATGGCAAAAGGTGTTGGACCAGAACGGTCAATATATAATTTAATAAAGTATTTGTTTATTATACGGAAACTGTCTTTCATTTCCACAAAAAAAAAAAACCAAATGACTCCGAACAACCCGATACATTTTCTCATTTCCTCAGATAATTGCAACGCACAACTTAATATTTTCTGTGAAAATGACTAGACAGTACCAACATATATAATAAGGGATCAAATTTTGCAGTAACTGAACAAACTATAATAATGTGAAAACAAGTAATAAGTACATATATCACACGAGGGCAAAACAATTAAACCATGACATGTTGTTAGTTTTCCTGCTTATTTAGTTAGGAAATTTTAACGAGTAATATCATTTGAAACATAAAAAATAATGGAATCTGATTGGAATTGTGATTTTCCGAAATAGATCTAATCATAACCTTTCCCTGCAAATTTTCTTTTATTAGGACCAAGGTAATCTGGAAAAGCCTTTCCCTCTCTTATCTGTAATTATCTTATATCTTTAGGTAAAACGATTTGACAGGTAGGTGGGTCATTACTGGAACTTATCTTTAGGAATGCTTCCCGCGAAACTTGAGATTTTATCGGTCGATCCCTTTTTCTATACCGTGGAGAGGTGACTTTGACCGTCCAATTCATTTATGTTTACTGGGTTACGAGGCTACGGTCTGCAATGATCGGGAAAGAGATGTATTACTTGTGATAAGGCCAACTTAATTGCTGGTCTTGCGGTTTATCGTCGAATAAACTGTTCACATAAGGAATATTGCCGGATTTAGAGCTAGTAGTCACGCAACAAGCGTTATCCACTATTGTAGATAGCAGTTTTAACACGAAACGCATTATTTGTGTGCTAATTCTTACGCTTTGATACTAAAATAGTGTTAATAAATTAACATTTTCTATTACATCATGCTAAAGGTGTATGTTAGGAGCGCGGCGCTGTACAGGTGCGAAACATGGACGGTGGGCGCGGTGGAAAAAAATGTTAAAAAAGGCGAATGATGAAGATACCATGGATAGAGAAGGTTAGAAATGAAAAGGTATTAGAAAGAATAGGAGAACAGAGGACTCTATGGAAGTCAATAAGAAATAGACGAGATAGGTTGGTAGGGCACCTTCTCATGCATGAAAGCCTAGTNAAAAATATTACTGATTGTAAGTTGACTAGTGACGACGCAATCTGCAGCAATAGGTGACCATTAATAGGAATGCTATTTGCTCGACGTAAGTTAATTATTATTTGGCTTTACCAAAGGTAAGACTACTAATATACACATAACGAAACCAAGCACCAAAGAGACCTGCTGAAAGAGAGCTTTCTAGAACAAGTGCTGTAGTGCCGTATTGGTTTTTGGGTAAGGAACAGTCAAGTGCTTTAATAAGGGCAGTGGATACTCTATTGGCAAGACCGAGCGACATGTCCTACAGGTTTAGACCGTTGCTTAGCATTCAGGAGGACGGCGGTTCGATTCCGGGTCTGGTGGCCTTGATCCAAGTTCTTCTGTGGTTTCCGTAGATCACTTAGGCAAATGCTGGGGCAGTAATATTCCACAGATAATCTTTCATTCTCTTCTGTCTACATTTCGTCCGTCTCAACTTTCTCACCCGAACCACCACCCACCCATTCCCACGATTCCTGAAAGCAGACTGAAGAGGGCCTTCCGCCCTACCTTCCGGCGTAGTTCGGAGGGACTGTCCGCCCACTAGCATTACTGGCTGGTGGGAATGAAACACCCAAAAGTTTTTTTTTTGTCCAACCGTCAACTGACGACCTTATGATGATGATTACATCATGTAAATCATGAAATCTACAAGAATAATACAAGACAAATACCACATCTGTAACTATCTACTCTAGGTTGGTACGTTCCTCTATACCAGTAATTCCGAACCAGAGGGTAATTGCCCCCGCGAGGGTAAATCAATTATTCTGTGGGGGTAACAAAGAATCTATAATAATTAAGAGCTAATGTAATAAAATACGTAGCTAGATAGTAAAAATATAAATTATAGATGTGTCAATGTTTATACAACTGTATGCACAATTGGTAAATATCGAACCAAACAAGATCACATTTGAAAATTCTGTATTTCGGCATTTATCTGCAACACTAATACTCAATTAAGCAATATTGTCCGGATATGGATAATCATCAGTCCAGTTCTTGGATATTAAGACGATTTACTACGGATGATATCATTATTAAAAATGAAAACGTAGCAGCCAAAGTGGAATATCTACGCCAGGACACCACTTGCAGAGTGGAATTTCAAAATTATAATTTTAGTTCATTTTGGCGAAAATCTGGTGCCGAATATTCTACTTTAGCTAACATATAGCTTTAAAAATGCCAATACCCTTTGCCACCGCCTATTTGTTTTTGCTTGTATTGTTTGTATTGATAACATGTTAAGGTCGGGGTAAAATCAGTTTTCCTAATAGATCACAGGGGTAACAATATTAAAAGGGTTAGGAACCACTGCTCTATACTCTATACAACTATTTCTGCTTTTAATACGTCTCTAAATTGGTGTTTCATTTCTCAGAAAACTCCCTGTTAGCAGGGACGTACTCAACTTTTTTGCATGAACCAAGAATTACGTAATTTATACATATTTACAATGGGTTAGCGTACGGGACAGCGGGAACTGGGTTGCACACGACTTTACTCACCCTGGCTCACCCGTACCTGCATTCCAGCCTGCCAAGCCTTCCCTCATTTTTAGCCTTTTCTATTCACAGTATTTTAATTATCCTTTTATAACATGACATTCAAACACGTTTCGCACTCGTACAGAGTCGTGTTACAAACATAACGAAAATGATTTTTTTAACATAATTGGCTTAGGCCTGCTCTAATTTTAGTTTTATGTCTCTATCTATTGCTTTCTACATTCTGAGTTATTCGACTCCTTACATACAGAAAATACGAACTTTTTTCAGTTTTTCATCACCAATATTTCTTACATACTGTACAGGAGAGTGTATGTGGGTCAATTGTTATTCAAAGGCATACCGTAGGTATTCTGTTTTTCCTTCTGCCTCATATTATAACGAGAAAATTAGCTGAAAGGCTTGTTATGCTGATGCATTAATACAAAGCCGCTGTTGTTGTTTTATCATTCCACCAGGCACTTGTATTCTTAGGCCAGATGTTCTCTGCAGAATGTACCTTCCCCTTTGTTCTTCTGGGACCTGCTCCCTATCTCTTCCTTTCTTCCATTTAATGTTAAATGTACATGTTGTCAAGCATGTAACACGAATCTAAAGATTCAACTACCCACTTTACTAACCAGCGTTTCCCTTTTTTGTAAAATGCAAAGTTAAGATCTTTGGATCTCGTTAGCTTTTTCGGAAGAGACCCAACTTGAGCGTAGTATTTCATATTCTGAGTAGGTACTTTTCGTTAGCTGAAGGCGTGCGTTCCCATTAATTAGAAAACTAATTAATGTAAGAATACCTCATTAAGGCTGGCAGCTTTAAGAGTTCTACCGCTGGCGTATTATGGTTGATTCGGTATATTTACGTGTATTTGGAAGAACGTTAAAGAAAAATGAGAAATTTTGAAGAATGTATTTTTACCAATTGAAACAATTAAATGCTACAATACGTGTCAATAACTAGTCATGTTGAAACTATCTTTAAAACAATTAGGAAAAGATTATCTACATAATGATACAAAACTTAATTTGATTAACTGCGCCGTTTTTGATTAAAAAGGTTAAATAGATTTGAGTTCTTACTGTAATAATATCAAAAAGATATGAATTAACGAGATTAAAATAAAATATAGGTATATTATAAAATACAATTTATATAACACAAAATGCAAACTGAAATTTATATATTAATGTAATGAAGCTTGGCTACTTGTGAAAAGGGTACAACCCAAAGAGTATTTTTATCTCGTATTTTTTAAGCATAAAACGAAATTAAAAGTAGCTTTCAAGTTTTCCCAGCAATTTTAACACTCCCATTAAAAAATTTTGTTCACGGACTTTTCTCTGTTATTAGCGGTTTCAGAATAACGAAAATTACTTTTGTTATTCGTGTTTGAAATAGCCAATGGCAAACACTTTATGTTGCCAAGCTAGATACTAAAAAAACAAGCACTTCAGTATCCCTCTTGTTAAAAACTCATTACATTGCACTTATTTTAATTAAAATAGCGAATGAANGATAGGTGCGTTACTTGACGTCTTTTTTATTGTTCTTTTGTTTTGATATTTAACCAATTGAACGCTAACAAATTCACCATCATTACGTACAACTGACTTGTCTACGGATCAGCTGTTGACCAAGGTCACGAATAGGTATGTGTGTTTCGTACGGCGGTAAATGTTCTTAATCACTGACACTCGTTAACTGGGGTACTTTTCGGACACTTTTTGCATCCCCTACGTTGTGGTACTATGACGAGATGCACTCTACCGTGCCTCCAGATCCTTTCAAATATCCCGGAATACTGATCAAACATAGTGTATAGCCAAGTTATGAATCCACTATTATTATTATTTTTTTTTTTTTATAAAAATAGATTTAAATACCATGGAAATTGAATATTTTTCATTAAGAGAAGGGTTTTAAAAGTTAACTTTTGGGTTAAGAGTATTTTATAGTTAAGAGGACTCGCCTGGCGTATTCATTGTTACCGAATGCAGTGGCTTGGATAAATAAAAGATTAAACTATTTTACGTTGGGAAAACGCCAAGTTTTCCAGCACGAACAAATAGACGAATACGAACTTCTTAAGGGGCATTTTTTTTAAGGAGGAAATTTCCCAGAAAATAAAACGGATTTGAAAATGGGAGAACTTTATGTTCTAAATTGCGTACCTAATTCTAAATGCTGACGAAGATTATTTGGAGTTGGTTGAAAAAACAGCTTATTTTGGATCTTAAGATCTAAATGAGATTAGAAAATCGTCTTAAATGTCTACGTATGTAAACATTAAGACCATAACTGTTGAAATAATGTAAATGTTCTCCCCAATAATAATTAAAACTATTAAGTAATTATCTAATGGAGTAGCTCATAAAATTCCATACAACTGGGATAAAAATTATGGTAAAATTCCTCCAGGTCGCTTTAAAAAAGTTAGAAAACTTTTCTTCGCATACATTACTCTCATATATCTTATAGGTACATAACAATAATTACTGAGAGCTATCTCTACCTATATAGGTACATACCATTGGGACTCTATTTCATACCTTTTGTTAAATAAACGTTCACGCTTTCATGTTAAACTTTGCAAAAGCATAATACAGGACCGAATTTATGGTAGAATTTTCTAGAAAATGTAACACTAGTTTGCTTCTACGTCACTAAAACGAATATTTATCGTAAGGGTTCCGCTACTATGTATTTTAAGATACATATTTTCAGAAAGCTTTCCTTTAATAAATAAATTAAGAAGTATGGCGTAAACTTTTTGTAACAAAATTCAATAAACCGAGCGTATTCCTTTGTTAAGGATAACGGATATTAACAAATGACATTTTTAATACGATATAAGTACGTTCAAGTCAATTCGATTTTCGCAGATGGTGTTAGACAGGACATTAGTATACAGTAGAACTCTTAGATCTCATCACCGTAAAGGAAAATATCTGAAGAAGTTATAATAAGGTTGAAAGTTGACACACCTTCGTCTTATGAATAAGTAACGGGTTGTTCGATGAATGCTCCGAATTCTAGGATGACTGCGAAAGGCAAAAAGGGTTTAGCACACGGAGAAAATTAAATTTTTATGAGAACGCAAAATTTGTCCTAGAAGCAGTACAATTTATTAGGTAACTTGTAATAATCTCAATTTTGACATGTTTGTTTAAAAAATATTTCAAGTTTCTTATAGAACAAACAAACAGTGTCGTGTTTTGACATTGGGGTTTTGATCTATTTTGTTTGTTCTACAACAACCGCCAAAGTTTTTCCAATCTTCATATT